AACTGCATTGTTGTATTACATCAGATCATATATGCAAGCACACGCACATTCATAAGCACTCACACGCACACACACACATACACACACGAAGAGAAGCCACTATAAGCGTACATTTGGGTAGTGCTTTTAAATACGAAATCGTGACAGCAGCGACTGTAAGCAGCCAATAAATTGCTTGCTCGTTTCTCATTGGTGCGCTTGAAGTTGATTTCAAGGTCGAAGCACTGTTTATGGTGTGACTGTGGCCTTAAAGGTTTGTGGATTGGGTGCACTCATACACATTGCGATAAAGTAAGGGAGATTATTTGCATTGCTTTAGGCTCTTTTGCTAAACTTCCTCCTTATTTTCTGCAAAGTCGCATGTTTATGACGTCCCAGGTAGGCTCAATCAGTGCACATTGTACTTAGTGCAGGTTCTATGAAAGCCTAATTTTTACGACCATCTCGAACCTCTAACCGGTACGACTAAACTATTTTTTTCGTGAGTTAGCCTCTGTAGCTTCGCTTTTATTTCCTTTCTTTAACCGGAAATAATCCGATACAACTATGGGTAGTTTGGAAAGCAAATGTATTGGTTGAATAATGCATTGGAGGAGGCTTTTAAAAACAATGAATAGATTGGGGATTTGGAGAGTTGTCTCTGCGCTACATAGGATGGGAATAAGTGTGGTTGCATCATGAAATTACGTAGCGGCTGGAAAATTGGTGGAATATTTGCACTGGGTAGGTGAGTGAGTAAGTACTTGTGCCTTGATTATTTATTCGCCATTTTGCTGTCAGAAAGTGTCTTCCACCTTTATGACTACTCTAGTCGTCTTTAATTCAGCAATAGTACTCCATCTGAAGAAATTCTTTACCTTGACGTTGATGATGGCTATCAGCATTACATTAATGATATTGGGTCTGTTTTGCCTAACATAATCAAAGAGGCCTCCTTAAACTGCTCGTGGTTCAGCTATGAAAATGCATTTCTTAGAGTCGCATTTAGACAGGTGTCTTTTCTAGAAGATGTCGACCAGCCTTTTACCCTTTAAATATGACAGTAGTCTAGTCCCTCACCCAAGCCTGAAACAGTTACTACCATCGTTAAGTCGCCTTCCTTTCCGCATTAGGGCGGACCTTTCAGTCACACAGGGGATAAGAATTTACGAGGTATGTTGGGAGAGATGTCCATGGAAGAGTGGTAAGTTACCCACTCATAACACCGCCTATGGAATCACCTCATTCGTGTTCTTTTGGTCGAAGTGTCTTGCGTCACGGGTTGGAGGACGCTCTAGGGAATTTGGAGTACAAACTGGGGACAAAAGTGACCACATGTATGCTTATCAAAAATGCATAGAATCCAGCTAAGGCGACGCTCTCATTTCGAATTACATCATAGTGTGCAAAGCATGTCACTTTTTAAGGCTTTGAAGGGTCTACGAAACATTGCTACACAAGAACATGCATAACGATCTGCCCAGCGGAGGATTGCATAGTCCCATAAAACACTAAAAATTCTAGCACATAGTGAAATTTACAACTCAATTG